CGAAGATGTGTAGTGATCAATAGATATTGAGCAACCAATAAGTAGTTTGTCCTTAGTAAGTTTTTGTTGAAGGAAACTTCTTCATAGAAGAAGTCGTGTAGAAAACTTGGTCCTGCATTCACAGGGAAGGTTCTCTTTTCTTATTACTCTGAAATAGGAATCCTGACTTAAGCGAAAAGTACTTATACCTTCGGTCATGAGTTTCGACGGATGAAACTTTATTCTATACATTCTCTAAAGTTGAAATATCAGTCACATAGAAAGCATGGCAATCAGCAGACTTAATGTACTATTGCACCTACTATTTTGTCACTATGTTATTGGTCCTGCTATCTATGGCAGTTAGAACTGTGTGCTCGTTTGATGAGGAAACTTCCTAGATTTTTCTTAGTTTAGTTTTTCTGCATTGCTTTCCAGATATAAGACATGATAGTTCTTTTGTCACTTAGTGAATGGCTGATTGCACGCATTCAGTGTTGATGTACTTTTACATGAGGAAACTTCTCTGTTTCTTATTTTAACAACTTTAATACATCCAGTACTAAATCAGAGCTATCATTTTGTTTTACTACAATTAGCAGTGCCTATCTTCGCATTAGTGGCTATACACAGATAATTTCTTATCGTCTCTCATCAACTGATCCACTCTAGTTTTTTTGCATTGAGTGATGCTTAGAAAATTGTGGATATAATAAGTTGGGGTTCCATGATTTGTCAAATTATGGAAAATGTAACTGATTGCCTCATCTGGTTGACCACAATGGGAAAATCTTCTGCATATGCAGTCGAGGCATCAGTTGTTTTGTCAAATTTCTTAAGTAATAAAAACCTTGATTAGGTTTAGAGCATTCTGGTTTTACCATTCTTGATTTAACTATCAAAAGATGGAACGTAAATAAGATATGGTTCCTAAATAGTTGCGTAACCTTGAACTCTTTCTACTCAAAAGAACTGTTTTAGTTGAATGGATCGAGATATTTTTATGATGAGTTTGTGCAGAAGCTGACACTTCAGAAATAGAAAATGTTTTATGAAGGCATTTATATCTCACTGAAACATGTTGTTCTATTAGATTTCTCACTTCTTTTAAGTTTATTTATTTGTCTTCGCTAAATAGGAGGTGAAGCATAATTTATCTGTAGATCACATTTTTCAGATCATGCATTAATTCATTCAAAATAACACCACTAGCTCTGTGAAACTGAGCTCTGTTTAGAATGCAATGGTCCATCGCATGTGCACCTGCTTTTGGACATTCACTGCACCATAGTAATTCATTTACTTGGGCATGATAAAGTCTGTGATATACCATCCTTAACTTGCTTATTTAACTTCTCAAAAAATAACTGATATTTCATTTTCATCTTAGATCAGTTTATAAGCTCCAAAATGGTAAGAGTTTCTCTTGAGAAAGGTTGAGTGGAGGCAGTATATCCAGATTGGCAATTTTATGTACAAGTACATTTTGAGATGCTCTTTGGTAATGTATTCATTGCCTAAAACTTTATATTGGTTAACTAGATATATCCTCCTCTTTTGAGGTAAACTAATGTTCTGTTTCTGATGTTTAATTCGAAATTCTAATGCGAAATTTTTCCAACACTAAAAGGTAAAATTGAAATAAAAGTATTAAGCAAAATAAAAGAAGAAAAACTGACCGCTTAAATCTGCACTTTAGTATTAACTCTAAAATGAATCACTTTAAATAAGCTACAGCTTTGGTTGATTGCTTATGATAGCAGTGAATCATTTTTTTAAATGTTTTATCATTACAAAATATACTAGGGCACGTACAGTGAAGGCTATGATGATGAAATGAAGAAGTGAGCTACGTAAGTTTCAGTTTTTGAAAGAGACCAACTGTATTCCGCACTAAGATTTAGTCATGCGTAGCTTTTAATACTCAGTAATTCTTTGATATTAGTTTGAACATTTGCATATTAGTGTTCATTTCGATACAGAAAATCTCTCCCTTCTTGTGCTTCCTCCATTTCTCTTAATACCATCATATTAACTTTCGAATTCCTTTTCCAGGTAAGTGAGATCTTGAGACATTCATCTCTACCTTCTGTTGCAAGAATCTTAAGTCATCTTCGCAGTCATGGTAGGCACAATTTTTTCCGGCTATCATGTGTTGTAGCTTAGTAATGAAAATATGTGGTGAAAATGTTATGACAGCTGGCTATGAAATCAAGATTTGCTGTTGGTTTCCATCTTTATCAATTCCCCACATTATATGTTAACCTAGACAACTAGATATTCCTGCCAGAAACTCATGATATCTGCATCTCCCAGATTTAGGCCCCAAAGTTTTCCTTGTGCTAGATATATGCTGTATTCATTTTATCGTGGTATGCTTTAGGAGATGTCATGCTGCCTTCATAACTTCTTTCTGATTTAGATGTGGTGGCCTTGCTATCTATAGCAAATTGTAATTTGTTCTTATAACTGCTGCTTTGTCTGGATGTATCTTATTCTGGAAACATTTGATCCACTATTTTTGTTTACCTGGCATAAACATGATGTAACGCATGGAGGAAGTCGAAAAAAGAAGTTCACAAGTTTTGTTAATGCCGTCAAACAGAGCCCAAATGGAATATGAATGCCAGGTGCATTAGCCATTGAACCGAACATATTGACTTTGCTCTGTATTGCAAGTTTTATAGCTAAAAGATTACTTGGTATCAAATATCAATACAGTGTACAGTATCCTGTCTGGAAAAGACACATTGGCAGAAGAAGCTTAGCTGTCATTTGCCCAAGAACTCTTTTTTCTGTTAAGGTGCATCTAATGTAGTGGGTTCATTTACATAGCTGATCTTTGAGGTAGGCTTAAGGTCCTCATATCAGTTCACTTCATTAATTTATTCTCGGAGTCTCTTAGCTATTACTGTGTGCACTAAGAAATCAGAAATCAGAAATCAAAATCCTACAAAGGCATCATTTTAATCATCGTTAGCTTGAACCTTTTTGATATAGATAAGGATGGACATTCTTCAAAGGTTAGATTCCAAAACTATCAATTGGTCACCTTGTTCTCCTATTTGGAATGTATTAGGCAACTTTTTTTTATCACCTGATATGTGAAAATGCTTTTCTTGGCTGAAATATTCCTTTCAGTAAATTCCTAAAAAATAAAGGAGGGAAAAATTGAGAATGGAAGAATTTGTCAAAGAATTTCTTTTTTGTATTTTTGTTGCAACCAAATTTGCTTTCACTGGTTTGCATCGCAAGGAGTTGCTTAAACTAATTTATATTTCTCACAGACCAGGTCTCATGCATATTTTGCTTGTTGCATGTGGACCTTCATGAGGCCAAGGTGGCTGCCACTCTTGAATATTTGTCCACTATGCATGCGGATGTGGAGCCAATAGTTCAAAGAACAAACGGACAGAGAAGCACCTCAGAGGACCTCCCAATGGTGGAACAATGCTTTAAAAGAGGGAAATTTCATGTACGCTTTAAACGCAGAAATGGACGTGTCAGAGTGATGGTAAAGGAAAAGCTATTGTTCCTTTGCAAATTAAGATAGCACGAGCACTTTATTTATCTTATACTGTTAATGATCTATTCTTAGAGGGAAGAGCTTTATGTTGAGGGATCAGACATCAAATTTAAAGAAGTTTCATCTGAAGATGGAATGACTGCTCAAAGTCTTGTTCCAAAGGTGAGTTATTTTGCAGTTCAAACCTAGTAGTAGTTTCTTCCCATTTCCTTGAATGGTGCAGCATACAGCTACAGTTAGCTCCTTTTGAGATACATCCACGTGTTAGGAGGAGTTAGAAGTCAGATCATTTTACATCTATGTTAATGAATAATTTTTGTGGTAGGTTCAATTCAATTTAGAGCTGTCAGAGAAGGAGAGACTGGACCGGGCGAAAGTCGTACTCCCATTTGAGCACCAAGGTATGGGTGGACCTCTAGTTTAGGTGCCCTTTTCTCATTTTCTGTGAAGATAAAATGGAAACTCAGCCTATAAACCTACTTTTTCATTCCTTTCGGCTTGTTTATCTTTTAGTTTGGAAGTAAAAATTGTTGTTTTACCTCTCTTAGGAACTGGTAAACCCATTCAAATCTATGATGGTCGCAAATCGCTTAATGAAAGCGAAATTGAGCAGCAACAAGCGTCAGTTGAGAAACCACAAACAACTGAGGATTCTGGCAGGGGTGAAATAATATATTTTCGGGATTCAGATGATGAGATGCCAGATTCAGATGAGGACCCCGACGATGATTTGGACATATGATAATGCGTATTACCACTTTTAAACATCAGGATACCAGATTTATAGGATGAAGCTTCTAGCGACCAACTTACAATCTAAATTATGTCAAAAGGTCAGGCTGCTATTACCAAGTCCATGTCCCAAATCTTTTGCTGGTAGGATACATGTACAATGGAACATCCTTGACCTTACTCGAATTGTAGGTTGACTGGCATGCCTGGTAAGTTGTCGGTTTAGTTGGTACGCTGCAAGTAATTTAAGCGCAGGGTTATCACCAAGTAGTGTTTACTGTGTGGTGCCTGTTGCCTTTGACTACTCGTAGGTATAAGGTATTGGATTTTACTGAACCAGTTAACCATTTTGGGATTAGTACGGGGTAATTTTGCTCATACCTGTGATTGTGCAACAGTGTTGCAACTTTTACTAAACTATAATTTAGATTGTTACATGTGTTACCTGAAGTTTGGCTGTGTGCATTCAACTGCCCCAATTGCTAGCTCTCTTTGAATATTAATGATATATTGGTCCAGTATAGGGGAGCTAAGTAGAAAGTAGATTGATTCAATTTCTTAAAACAGACTTCAGATTTCGAGAACTTGCACTACAAATTCTGTACGTTGTAACTTTTTAAATCAAAATGACAGAACGGATATGATTAAGAATTTCAGTTATCACCTCGTTCAACTCTGCGGAAGTGAAATGGACCAATGGAAGGATTTCTAAATAGAACAAGTTCCTTGATGTATCTAATGTGAACTAGAAGCCAGGGTATTTGATTTTGCTATACAAAAGTAAGTCATAACTGTACTAATCCCTTCTAAGAAGGGTAAAACAAATGTGGCCAGGTTTATGATAAGAGCACCCCTGGACAAAAATGAATGTCGCATCTAATGTTGGTGAATGCTATACAACAGCCATTTAAAGAATAAAAAGAAAGATGAGACGACAAGTTTGCTCTGCCATATTGTAAGGACCTTAAACCCATTCGAATGAACCTAAAAAGGTGAAAAGAATCAGATTCAGATGTAAACCATAACTAAAAGCTTTATGATGCACATAACTCTAGCCCCTTTAGTCCAAAAGAATTATATAGAACAATGTAAGTCACAGAGAACCTAAATGAACAAATCAATTTTTCTCATAGCATTAATGAAGACCATGTAAAATCTGATAAACACCCGTCATACAGACTGATAAAACCGTAGAGATAAAAAAAAAAAAAAAAAAAAAAAAAAAAAAAAAAAAAAAAAAAAGAGGAAGTTTGCAACCAGGAAAATACCTCAAGATAAAAGGACAAGTCCAAGGTACATAGCTCCACAAAGAAAAACAAATGATATCATTCCCCTGCAAAATCTCCACAAGTGAGCAATCCATGACCGCAAAATGATGAGAAAAATCAGATCCTGTTTAATGCTATGACTAACCAGAGAACTCCCCAAAAAATACCAGCACAACAACACGGACAAAGTTCAGCTAATTTCTCAGCATCGCTTGTGTTCACTCTTCGAGATATTAAATCATCATAGATATCTGCAATGTCAGAGGCGGATTTGGATTTAAATTTTGTGGGTTCAACTTTTAAAACTTTAGTATTGAACCCATTATATTTTTAAAGTTATGAGTTCATATCTACTATTCGTGTAATTTTAATGAATTCTTACATATAAATTTTTATTCCGTGTCAAAAGTTATGGGTTCAGTTGAACCCATAACTTAATACACTATATCCGCCACTGTGCAATGTCATATTTGTTGGGCCATCTCACATTCCAAATGCAGAATTTTATAATTCCACAAAGAAAAAGGATAGTTCGTACCATATACTGAAAACAAGCTGTTCATAACACCTGCAGTATATAAGAGAACCCATATCAGCAACACAACTGAATTGTAAGAGAGAGAAAGGAAGAAGAGAAGCACATACCTATGAAGAGAATTACGTAACGAAGCATACGAACTTCCGTTTGTATTTGCAGAGCCCAAATTCCACCAATGAAAATGATAAATCCTGGAAAATCCAGTTTGTTGAGATCAACGACTAAACATAAAAAGCAGTTGTAAATCAAGTACTAAAACTTATCAGGATAGTGAATGTACAAACCGATGCAAAGTCCTCGAAGTGTCCACTGTTCAAGAACGTAAAGCAAGTTAGATTACACAAGTAAAAAGTTTGAGATATAATAAGTTTAAGGACTTGATTATCTGCTATCATTGTACAACACATAAATGCAAGTTTTTCTTAGTTTCATACATTTTTTGCAAGGAAGAACACGATAAGCAAACCGGCAATAAAACAACCAGCAGCTATCATTGCTGTGAGAACATATGTCGACACAAGTATGAGAACCATTCCCCAAAAAGACGAACCCAGATCTTTAGGCAAAAAAAAAAAAAAAAAAAAAAAAAAAAAAAAAAAAAAAAAAAAAAAAAAAAAAACGAGCACAACAATAGTCAGTGAAAGAAAGGTCAGCACTGAAATAGACAAAGCAAGCTATAGTAGATGAGCTAATTTGAAATGCATATGAATTTGGAACTTAAGCGGACACTTCATTATGTCATTTAGGAAATGAAAGCTTAAAGTTGTATTGGAAATTGTTTCAAGGAAGAGAAATTACATCCAGCAGGCAAGATAAGCCAAGAAACACCTCCACGGGTCTGTGTCACTCCCCCCTCATTGGCATGAACTTCTATGCCCACCACCTGTACTAGTAAACCAGAAAAAGTGTGGTTCAGAATATAAAGACTAAGAACTTATTATATTATGAACTTGTATTGATCTGGGGAACCATCCGTCATAAGTTCTTAGGTTTCTTCTTCCTCTATCCTTTCTGTTTCTAGTTTTCTTTTTCCATAGGTAAGGGCCAGTGCCAGCCATTCCACTATTTGTACATTGTCATTTTTTCTTTTCCTCTATCCTTTTTATTTCTAGTTTCCCTTTTTTATGTAAGGGCCAGTGCCAGCCATTCTTTGGATATGTCGAAATAGCCAAGCCAGCTTAACCATTTCTCTGAACTCAGCTTCAATAGTCAGTACTAAACTATTTCTCAAATTTCTTTTTCTTACTTTATTCCTTGAAGTTCTTCATATCTTGTTAATCTTTCTTGTTGTGCCACTAAGCCATCATGATGTTTGTCATGTATTTAATATGCTAATTCTTGGAAAAAAATAAAAGAAAGAAAGGAAATAATAGAAGTTCATTAAGGTTTTATAGCTAGTTCTTTGATACAGTGTATAAACTATAAAGAAACAGATCCCGTTGACCCAAAAGAATTCTGTTTTCCTTTATGGATTATCCCAAAATTTTCTGCACCTTTCCGAAGGTGAAGTTTCTACAAAATAAACTATACCATAGAGAAATACTAACTCTGTCTCATTTTAATAGCCCAATTTAACTTTGGAGTTCAGACTTCTCTTTTTGAATCTTATTGATCCTACCATAATATTTTCCTCTTAACTTCTCATTATGAATTAGTAAGTCCTGTAAAGTACATAGGACTTCTTGAGAAATTCTGGAACTCAGACAAATTCAAATGACTTCTCATGGTAAGAAGTTGTAAAGTTCATGCATGACTGTTTGAATTAAGTAGCACATGCTCAAAAGACAAGAAGGGAATAACAGAGAAATCGAAACCAAAACAGGAAAGGGTCAAATTCATCTACAAACTACAATGTTGGACGAATATCTAGTCTAGGTTCAACTTGATCTGCACAACAGTTCAAAGTGAATATAAACATGTGATGTAAATTGAGTCTTTAGGGTTTCTGAAATAACTGATATCTATATTTCTCTGTCTACACATTAAAGAGCAAAACAATTAACCAAATGCTAGCAAATTGCAGAACATATATATACACACATGGTGGTGAAGCCAAAACTGTTACTTAGTAGAATGGAATTGGATCAATATCCGACTAGAAGAAGCGATAATTTTGATGAGATTCCTAAATCATTTAAATTTAAAGTGTAGAGGAGAGACATTATTACCTCACCACATGTGAGCTTACAAGCAATTGCATGGCTTAGTTCATGAAGAAATACAGTGAGTGATGAGCTTGAAAGGGGTTATAATAAATGTTCTCCATAGCTGTTATCCAAAGAATCAGTCAATTATTGAATATCAAAATTCAAAAAGAAAGCAATATTATATTCCATGATAAACATTAGGTAATTAAGATATAAAAAGAGAAGTAGATAGAGAGAGAAGGTTACGATAAAAATGAAGACGGTATAAACACCAATGGTGACAAGGAAGATGACTTGATCGTGGTTACAACAATCCTTAATCTCCCAGTTCGCCTTCATTTTCAGCTGTAATTACCTGATATATATCCAACACAATCCTTCAATTTTTAATCGATCCTCGGTTGCAGGGGTCGAGGTTTTTTTCTTTTAATTTTTCAAAGAATTGAAGAGGCTAAGTCAAGGTGATGGTTTATGTTTAGTTAACAATGGTATGTCAATTGGAATAGTTGCTGGAAAGAGTTGGTGTGGATGCTAGGAGGAAGCTTCCTCCTTTGATGTCATGACATCAAGAGGAGGTAGTTTGTTGTCACCAATGACATCAAGAGGAGGTCTTTACCTCTATAAATAGATACACTCCTTCATTTGTAGAAACCATCCCAAAAATAATACAACACATTATAGTGAGTAGAGAGTTAAGAGAGAAATTCTTTTAAGTGTAATTGGGAACTCTCCCCTTCCTTTGTTAATATTAAAAAGACAAATATTCTCTGGTGGACGTAGGATTATTTTGATCCGAACCACGTTAAATCTTGTGTTCTTTCTTTTACGTTTCCGCTAACAATTGGTATCAGAGCAACAAGATTCTTTAACGATCCAAGGAGGAAGAACAAGCAAAGATGAGTTCCATGAAGTTTGAAATTGATAGATTCAGTGGACGCAACAACTTCAATATCTGGAAGATCCAGATGATGGCGTTACTGCGGAGGGAAGGTTCAATCCATGCTATTGACGGAAAGTATCCTAAGGATATATCAACTCCCGACAAGGAGAAGATTGAAGGGGATGCATTGAGTGCAATCCAACTATCCCTTGCACCTAACGTGCTTTGTGAAGTGAGTACGGGTACCGAAGAGACGGCCAAACAGTTATGGGAAAAGCTAGAAGGGCTATACCAAGACCGATCAGTGACAACAAGAATGTTGCTACAATGGCGTCTTCACACATTTAAGATGGGGTCAGGTACTTCGTTACAAGATCATTTAGATGCGTTCAATAAACTTGTCATGGACTTACAGATTGCAGGAATTAAAAAGGAAGAGGAGACGCTTGCATGTGCTTTGCAATTTTCATTGACTTCAGGATATCGTGATATTGAGAATTCAATGATGTATAGCAAGGAGCCTATCAAGCTTGAGCAAGTGCGGCAGGCACTTAACTCTAGTGATGTGCGGAGGCACATTGAAGGAGATA